GACAAATTGCAGCGCAATCAATCGATTAATATGTTACGGATAACGGGATATCTTCAACTGTGTAATTATTAAACAAACTCGTTCGCTTCATTTTTCATTCGATCTGTTTACGCTCAAGATACCGTTCTTAGATTTTTATATAACTACTTCTATTATAGCAAACACGGTGTACAGTGTTCACATCGATTCTTATTGCATATTTTTAATTGCATATAAACATCTTTGTAACTTAACCTAATTTACCATATTGCAATTTGCATCGAACATAATGTATACAATTTAATCTAACCTATCATAACCTAACCTAATTTAACCCAACCTTAATCTACCCAAATCAAATCCAATCCAACGACAACCTAACATAACCTTAATCAATCCTAAGCCCAAACCAATCAAGTAACCTAACCCAACCTAAACAGATCGAATGCTCGAACAGATAGCATCAATCCAGAAAACAGACACAACCACAGAATTATCAAACGAAAAAATGAAAAATGATTCCCTGCAATGGGACAAAGAAGTCCTCGCGTCGAGCGTAGTGATTGCGGCACACGCTCGAGGGATATGAACGAGCGAATAGGTTGAGGGTCGCGAGTGGCCGTTGACCCTGCGTATGTATCCGCGCGGAGCGGAATGGCGAGCGGAGTTATCGACCACCTAGACAGACTAGAGTCCACATTGGTAATAGCTTCTCTAGTCCACCGACCTTCCACTCGTAAAAACAAATATTTATGGCTACCGCACCGACACTGTCCGTGGCCCTTCTTCAGGGTCGCGAGTACAACCGCGACAGGTGCAGATTCTTAATTACTCGATCAGCCATCTTCTTTGCTTTTGAACTACTGACATTATGAGTGCTGACATTTGGACCTCGAATACTCCATATGTCGAATGCTCGATATATTGAATAAGTGCAGATGAGATTGAGTTGTGGCGATATAATGAGTGAGAAGTGAGAAGGTTAGATTTAACGGGTTTAAGTTTAATTCGTGGAAATTTGATGGTGATGCAGGGTGATACAAGGTGTGGGATTTGACGTGTGGGAACATGTGGAGAGTCAGAGAGGGGTGATTTAAAGAGCGGCGATATAAGGTGTTGAAATGTAGCTCGGAGTAATTTGAGGTGTAAGTAATTTGGTGCGTCGTGACGCAACGCATGGTAATTTGGCGCGTGGTAATTTGACGCGTGGCGATACAACGCGAGGTAATTTGGCGCGTGGCAATACAACGCGTGGTAATTTAGCGCGTCGCAATTTGGACGCGTAGTAATTTGAGTACGTAGCAATACAACACGTGGTGAGTTGGCGCATGGTCATACAACGCGTGGTAGTTTGCACGCGTAGTTATTTGGCGCATAGTAATTTGAGCGCGTGACGATACAACGCGTGGTGAGTTGACGCGTGGTAATTTGACGCATGGCGATATAACGCGTGGTAATTTGCACGCGTAGCAATTCGAATGCGTAGTAATTTGAACGCGTAGTAATTTAAGCGCGTTGTGATTTGGCGCGTGGTGATACAACGCGAGGTAATTTGGCGCGTGGCGATACAACGCGTGGTGAGAATTTGGACGCGTAGTAATTTGAGTACGTAGCAATACAACACGTGGTGAGTTGGCGCATGGTCATACAACGCGTGGTAGTTTGCACGCGTAGTTATTTGGCGCATAGTAATTTGAGCGCGTGACGATACAACGCGTGGTGAGTTGACGCGTGGTAATTTGACGCATGGCGATATAACGCGTGGTAATTTGCACGCGTAGCAATTCGAATGCGTAGTAATTTGAACGCGTAGTAATTTAAGCGCGTGGTGATTTGGCGCGTGGCGATATAACGCGTGGTGATTCGACGCATGGCGATACAACGCGTGGTAATTTGCACGCGTAGCAAATTGAATGCGTAGTAATTTGAACGCGTAGTAATTTAAGCGCGTGGTGATTTGGCGCGTGGCGATATAACGCGTGGTGATTCGACGCATGGCGATACAACGCGTGGTAATTTGCACGCATAGCAAATTGAATGCGTAGTAATTTGAACGCGTAGTAATTTAAGCGCGTGGTGATTTGGCGCGTGGCGATATAACGCGTGGTGATTCGACGCATGGCGATACAACGCGTGGTAATTTGCACGCATAGCAAATTGAATGCGTAGTAATTTGAACGCGTAGTAATTTAAGCGCGTGGTGATTTGGCGCGTGGCGATATAACGCGTGGTGATTCGACGCATGGCGATACAACGCGTGGTAATTTGCACGCATAGCAAATTGAATGCGTAGTAATTTGAACGCGTAGTAATTTAAGCGCGTGGTGATTTGGCGCGTGGCGATATAACGCATGGTAATTTGACGCATAGCGATACAACGCGTAGTAATTTCCACGCGTAGTTATTTGACACATAGCAATTTGAATGCGTAGCAATTTAGACGCGTAGTAATTTGAGCGCGTGGTGATATAACGCGCGGTAAATTGGTGTTAGCGATATAACGCGAGGATATTTTCCACATAGCATTTTGCTCGCGTACCATTTCGAATATATAATTCCCATATATGGCAATTATCTCATACCTTAATCAGCGAACCACCTTCCACCTACTAATTAAAATTTTCTCCTACTATCAGAAACTTTCTTCATCGATTTCCCAGAACAATGATCAATCACCAATAGAAAGAACGACCTTTAAACGCACGTTGACTTAGAAAAACACAGACGCACAATCTAATCGCACAGTATCTTTATCGTAAATTAGCTGGATCTTCCAGAGAAATCTCGGAAACCTTGACTCGGATCCTCTCCTCGCCTCCCCGAGTTCAATTATTTTTTGTCTCATCAATTCAATTTTTCCATCGACGTTCACGCTTACAATCTCTCACGAGTTACGTCACCTTGTGTTGTTGCAGTATCCAGCAGGTGCATCCAGCGAACTTTTGCCGGAGAACAGAGGAACTGGTTACGCAGCGGCTGGAACTTTGCCACCGAACGCGGAAAACATTTCTCCAGCCGCGAAAGATCTATTGAGACGACTGCTACAACCTGACCCGTGTCTCAGGTTGAGGTCCCTCTTGAGTCTGCAGAGAATCGCCTTCTACATGGGTCACGATTTGCAGAGTTATATGGCGAAAAAGGTATGGTGGTCTGCCATAGGTGGTCTGATCCAGCTGTCTTCAAACATTTCTGTCGTTTGTCATGTTTTCGTTTGAGATAGATTTGGTGGTTTTTGAGGTAGGATGCTTAGAGGTTATAGTGGGTTTGGAATAAATTAATTCAATGTACTCGTGCAAATTGGTTTTGATTTCCTAGATGAATATTTGGAATCATCACATGTCTACAGATGAGTACTTGAATCCTACATGAGAATTTAGACTCATCTCAAATTTAGAATGAAAATTTGGACCCATCTCGAACTAAGAAAATTTGAATCCATCTTGAGTCTAGAATGAGAATCTGTACCTAAAGTCCCATGCAAGAATTTGGACCTCGAACCCAGATCAGAATTCAAGTCTAGAAATTTAATACTTTGACAGAATATTTAAACTAATCCTTGATCACCTCTTTCCATAAACAATTACTATAATAATTTTGTTATCCCACAGGAATCTCCATTTCGGCTGCTGGGACGCAAGGTGCAAACTCAGGAAAGAAGAATCCGTGAATTCTCGAATTTCGATTCCTCTCTATGTGATAGTCTCTCCCGAGCCGATGATCGATGATCTCATGAATCTCTAGTACTTACATGTCTTTAGTCGTTTCAGCTAACGCAGAATCATCCTCTGATGATTCAAGAATCTCACTGTTCGAAGCTGTGTGTCTTCTACAATTTTCCATTCGCGTTAGCTTGTTGGTGGTCGAATCGATACCGTAAAATATCGATGTGCAATTCGATACCTCTATCTCATTATTTGCAGGCTATCAGTATTGATTTATCGATTCGGTATCGTTCCGATCATTGATTGTCGTTCGAACGATGTTGTCGATGCCATCCATTAGTTTAAGTCAACGATAATTTTATAAACTTTTTGCCATGAAATCAATATTTTTTGACCGGTTTAAACATCGCTATCATGCGCAAGTGTTGCGAGATTCAGCTGCTTTTTGATGTTAAAGCTTCTTCTGAGTCGATACGAAAGATCTGTGTGCAGTGTTATTTACTGTTTATGATGTGGAAGCAAAATGTATTTTATCGTGAATAAAAATTGCTGTATGTGATTGGGGAGTTTGGTTACTGTTTACAGGTCCTGAAATTTCCAAATTTTTCAATTTCTCAAAGTCGCAAATCTCAAGCTTTCAAATTTCTTAGCGCCCCGAATTCTCAAGCTTCCAAATTTCTTAGCGCCCCGAATTCTCAAGCTTCCAAATTTCTCAGCGTCTCGAATTCTCAAGCTTTGGAATTCCTCAGCGTCCCGAATTCTCAAGCTTTCGAATTTCTCAGCGCCCCGAATTCTCAAGCTTTCAAATTCCTCAGCGTCCCGAATTCTCAAGCTTCCGAATTTCTCAGCACCCTGAATTCTCAATCTTTCCAATTTCTCAGCGCCCCGAATTCTCAAGCTTCCGAATTTCTCAGCGCCCCGAATTTCTCAGTTTTCAAATTTCTCAGCGCCCCGAATTCTCAAGCTTTCGAATTCCTCAGCGCCCCGAATTCTCAAGCTTTCGAATTCCTCAGCGCCCCGAATTCTCAAGCTTCCAAATTTCTCAGCGCCCCGAATTCTCAAGCTTTCCAATTTCTCAGCGCCCCGAATTTTCAAGCTTTCAAATTTCTCAGCGCCCTGAATTCTCAAGCTTTCCAATTCCTCAGCGCCCCGAATTCTCAAGCTTCCAAATTTCTCAGCGCCCCGAATTCTCAAGCTTTCCAATTTCTTAGCGCCCCGAATTCTCAAGCTTCCGAATTCCTCAGCACCCCGAATTCTCAAGCTTCCGAATCTCTCAGCGCCCCGAAACTCAAAATCAGGAGTTTCATAAGGAAAAAATAATAAGCTTGCCATAAAAGAATTCTTGTGAGGAACGGTTGGTCTCAGTTTACAAAAGTTTTAATTTTTTTAAGAATAGTTAACAGTATTTTTGTTACAGTATTTCATCGATAATACAATAAATTGCGATAAATCGTAGTGCGTACAAACTAACAACAAAAGAACAGAACGGATCTGGATCGAATAACGCAGCGTCTTTTTTTTATGTTTTTCCTCTTTCATTTTCGAAATCAATTGCGAGAACAGTTTTCTTTTTTGGCTTATCATTCACTCTTCTTTTACTTTGTTCGCTTTATCCACGAATATATAATATATATATATACCTTGAGAATTTGTTGCTTCGTCTTCGTTCACGTGTTCGTGCATTACAATTTTCTCATCTTTTTTCGTTTCTCTTTATGGGGGGAAGACGGATTTTCCCCAGGGTGCAATCGATCGAAGTTTATGGTAATAATAATTATATATACATTATTATTCTTACACTTAGAGGGTTTCTCGATAATATAATACAACGCATTCCTTCAAATGTTACGTCCCGAACAACGCGTTACCGAACGATCACTGGATTATCTCTTTCGTATAAAATTTGATAAAAAAACAATATCGATATGCGTTTAATGATTACCAACGCAACAAACACATTTGTATAAATGTTTTACAATAATTATTTAACTTCGCATTAAATCGAATCTTATCGAATCACATCATTCTTCATATATTGCAAAATTATTACATTTTTATATTGTATGAAAAGTGTTTCTAATTGTTACAAATCATGAATTCTATTCGCACTTTTTCAAAGATCGTTGTTTATTTATTAAATCATTTTAAACATTTTCCTATCAAATCAACGTAAAGAACGTACACCCATAAATTTATAATATTTCTAAAATTCGATAGAATAAAATCCTCGATTAAAATACAAAACACCGCTATAAAAATCCTCCAACGGAGCCAAGTTGCGCAAACAATTATAAATAAACAATCAACAACGAATAAAACGGAGACCGCGGGTTCCAGCGATCGTTCGCGTTCACAAAGCTCGTCGTTTTCTCGAAGCGACGAAACGCGTGCGTTTTCATTTTCTCGAACCGCGAAGCACGGCTATACACTGTCGTCGATTTCGTTTTACAAAACAGAACGAAATCCAATAATTACGTCTAAATGTTTATTAACTGCTTCCACTCCGCGACTCGCGGAGTCGTTTTGGTAAAAATCCTTCGAGCTTTGGTCACCGGAAGTTGGTCTCGCGTTCGACCTCCTCTTTGTTTTTAATTCGCGAATATTCACGCGAAAGATGCAAGTTGAGCAGAGATTCGAGAGCTGCGAGACCAACGACCGGAAACGAAGCCCGTTTCCGTTAGCCACGAGTTCGCTCTCTTTTTTAGTGACACGAATCACTATACTCGCATATACTCGTCGCATACACTATTTTATTTTTTTTTTTCTTATTCACACTCATGCTTCTTGCCTCTCGCATTCTCTCACTCTCCCTTAAATTACGAGTTACCTTATTTTGTTGTTACTGTTTCGTTATTGTTTTTAATAGTAGCGCTATCGTAAGAGATTATGATACAAGTAGAAACGACCTGTCTGATCGCGACAATATTCTCTCGTATTTTTACAGCCTGACTGTGGTTTGCTTGTATTATTATGGTTTCTCATTGTGTTCTCTTTTACCGTTTTACGTCAACTGTGCGCTCGATTTCCCCCGTTCTGTGAATCACGATTTTTGATAAATTTTGGGAGATCAGACTCGCAAATTAACAACAGTTGTATTTCACTAATTTATCATAACTCATTAATTGTCCGAAATGAATTCATACAAAAATTATAAATTGTAACGTGTACATGTTGGAATGAAAATATGTGGTCTGACAAACAATACAGATTAACGCATACTCAATTGTACATTTCCATTTTTTAATTTCTTAAAGTTATAATTAATTCAACATTATTCAAGAGCTTCTACTTTTGTTACAGTTGATTTAAAAAATGGATGATTATAAAAGACTACAAAAATGATTCCAACAGAAAAATCTTCCAAGTTTTGTCTGACAATGTACCCCATAAAATAAAAGAAAATTTTGTAACTGTTATAATTATTACAAAAATTTAAAAGAAATTTTCCCAACAAATTTTACTATCCGAAATTTGCGAGTCCACGCAAAACACCGAGTGCATGGTGTCAACCACGCATTGAAATCACCATAGGTCGTAACCGTATGTCTGCAGAAAAATCGGATCCGATCGGAGTCCGATGCTTATCGCGTAATCTATGAATAATTCCGCTCTAAAAATTCTCGAAATCTCAATGTTCTACTTTAAAAATTTGGCAGAGATAAAATTTCTCCTCCCGAAATCCTCGACAAAAATCATTCACGCTTAATGGAATACTTGTTAAGTGACGAGGGTCTCCAAGCGTTAACATCGTTCTCGCCACAATTTCGTGCGGCAAATTTCGCGTCGTCGCGATTTCGCGGAACGAGGTTCAATCGCATCGCGCGAACAAACCACGAAGCGAATCGAAATTGCGCGGGATTTCTAAGACATACGATATTCGCTGATAAATTTGAATGCAATAATACAAAGAGATAATTGATTCTAGGATAATTTGCAATTTTCGATTCGCTTGGAACGTGGTCGAGGAACTTGTCCTCGTTCGTGGACAAATAATTTCATCGCGCCTCTCTCTTACAAAAAATCATAATAATAGTAACAATAATAATCGTAGCAATAATTAATAATAATAATCATCCAGATTCTGGATAGGGCGCGGCGAATATATCCAAAAATCGTTCATTCTCCGTCTCGCGCTTACGCAGATTTCTTCTTAATGTTTCATCTCGTTTGTACACAAAATACCAACTATATGTGCTGGAAAAACGCACATACTGTTTGTACGCCTCTATGTATAATATTTATATTATGTATACGGTGTGTCGCTCGCGCTCCGAGCTCTTTTTACCTAAAATCAGATATTTATAAGGTATTTCCTTTCGTTCTGCCATGCGTTAATTATCGTTTAGCGTGTAGCGTGGATCACTATTGCGGTGTTTTACAATTACGCCTAAAAACTGTCTCTTTCCGTTCCCTACCCTCTATATTTACAATCATCGTTCCTCGCGTACAATCCTCTATTTCTTGCCTCTGTGGATCCGTCCTTGAGAGTGAAAAGAAGAACAACAAACGAAGAAATAAATCGAACAAAGTGCAGAATCCTTTTTTAACTTTTTCTCGTTTTCACCCTCGACTCGCGCTCGCTGAAGCTCTCAGAAAGCTTTACACCAATCGAAATACCGATTCTCTTACGGCTCACTCACACACACTGACACACATGTACCATACAAATCGGAAATTAATGGATATATTTGTTCGACTACACGGTAGCCACAGCGCTCGACCAATGGAACGAGAGAGACGCTTCATCTCCCTACTTTACATTGTTCCTTAAGCACGTTGACTGCCCTGGGACACCACAACTTTAATTACACTTAAAAGAGAAAGTTTATTTCGAATATCGCTAATTTTATTCTGATAAGATCTGAGGTTGAAAGGTTAACCCTCGACTATCATGGCAGGGGTAGGTTTGACTTAAAGTCACATTTCTTAGTTTCTCCACTTGAAAGCACACGTGCACATTCTAATATTACCCCTCTAATTAATAGCAACAAAATTTTGTGCAAAAAGTGGGGTTCAGAGATTGTTAAAAAATTTTAAATAACATACTAGACACATAAAACAAAGACCCTGCCATGTTACATTTCTAAACGCTGATAGTCAAATTGAAAAATAAAATGGAAAAATGTATCTTAAGAAATGAAATAACAGAGTAAATTTGATGGCAGTCAACGTGTTAATCACGTGCGTCTCCGTGGTTCACTAGAAGGTCTTTCCATCATCGTCTTCGTATGTTATCTTCGACGACCTCGAGGTTGACGAAAATTTCTTTTTTATGTTTTTTTCTTCTCTGTTTCTTTTTGTCTGTAATATCGAACAGCTGAGTTCACCGACGGGTTTACGAGAAAGATCGACCATACGATCCTCTCACCCCATTGGACGATCGTTAAAACTAGGTTACTATTTAGAAGGAAAATCGACTCGTCGTCGCGGTTTACACGCTCGGAGGAGAACTCGCGCGATCGAGCTCCTCGTATCGAAAAATTTACGTAAGCTCGCATAGTTTCTCGTCATCCTCTTTCTCCATTATTTTATTCATCCCTTCTTTCTAACTGTATTTGCAAAGTTTATTTTACAGTTCTTTTAAAGTACTGAAATTTATATGTTCTCAGAAACATAATATCTTTTATGTATATCTTCTTTGGTTCTCTACTTTTTGACTATTGGATGTTTTTATATTTTGTGAACATGACAGGCTTCTTCAGGGAAAATGGCGAATGTAGTTTACACGATTTTTTACATAATTCAGAAATTTTACAAGATATGAATATTTGAGAAATTTCGGAACTGCACATATGTAACTTAAAATTTCTAAATATTTGCACCAGTGTCTTCAAACTACCTTTCTCGGTAATTATGTCTACATTTTTTTCAAGAAGTCTAAAATGTTCCCAAAATGTTCTTCAAAAGAGTGTATGGAAAGGGTTGATTTCAAGAGTTCGAACTTCGAGGGATGACGATCATGCTTTGAACAGGAAGCTTCGCAAGCGTGCGAGATACATCGAAGCACGCTAAGAGAGCGTTTTATTTGCGTTCGTTCTGCAACGACTCATTTAATCGACGACGAATCTTTGATCTAATCTTTGATCAGCTTAGCACGAACGATAGCGGTAGACGATCTTTTTGACTCCGCGATCGAAACGCGTGATCGAAAATCGAAACGAGGATCACAGCGTTGCCTAGCGATGACAATAACAATAATAATAATAATAATAATCACTAAGGTACGCGCTATGTATATTATTCCTGTACAAAGTGTGTGTGTGTAATTGCACAATGCATCGTTCCGTTTATTCTTTTTTTTCTTTTCCTCTCTCATCGCAGAGTACAGTACATCTCAGTTTTATTTTCTTTCGTTCATCTTGTGTGTGTTTTTTTTTATATATGATAGTCAGTTAAGCGTTTGCTCCTCAAGGCAGCTCCGCAATAGAGAAATAGTGATACCTGGCAGTAAAGGAAAAATAGTTTCTTCTTTTATTTTATTACTTTTATTTCTTCTTGTCGATCGAACAAGATTGTCATAAATAGTCGTGCGAGTTGAAAGATGCCTCTGCATTATGCGTCCTGGAGTTTAACATATTGACCGTTGCGGGGTCAACGGCGATCGGCGTTACTAATTTAATACGGTGAAATAACTTAAAAAGGAAATATTTAAGAGAAGTTTATAGGACATTAATAATATATTAATTACGTAGTTATATACAATATTATATTAACATGGATTTCGTATTTTAAATTATGTACTACCGTTTTAGACGTATTCTAAGCTTCCATACTTTCATCATTTATAAATCAATGTTTCAAATTCCTATTTTAAATTACTACTTCAGCGCTATTAATATAGTGATTCAAAATTTATTTCCCTCCCGTCTCCGTATTAATTCTTACAAATTCTTTCGGTATTTCAGTGGTACGTTTCTCTAAACTAATTAATTATATGGTCAAGTTAAATTGGTAATGCCGATCAGCCACGACCCTCGCAGCAATCAGCATATTAATAAATAAACCACGTAATTTTGGAATCATTGAACTGCAAGCATATGTATGCGTGTACGAATGTACAAGTATGATGATCGGCTGAAAATCGAGGAGCTCGAATTATTATCGATAGTGATCAACGTTAAAGTTGTCGGATGATTGCCCTACGGTTGACAATCATCAAATTTTGTCAAATACACTAGGTCAATGACCTTTGTTTTTATTTACGTGAAACTACGAATGCTTGTCACGATTGTAAAAAATGCGAACCAGAAGATTCTTTTAGGGTGTCGGAGAAGCAATAACAGAGGCAAATAGTGAGAACGTTAATTCTACCGTGTAACGTTATCGTGACAAATTAAAATTAGTAAAAAGTTTCGAACGTTCTCACTCAACTTTGAAAATGAAAATGCCTGAGAAGAAATATCTGGTAAAATATTATAAAGAGTCGATTAACCGTAAAAACTTGTTGCAAATGAAATACCCTTTGCATTAGGCGACTATTCAAAGCATTCCACAGGGGAAGAATGATCCGATGGATCGTTAAAATTAAAGACCATCCTAATTTGGCAACTTTATGGACGGCAAAAGTCTTGTGTCTAATCACCGGAAAGTTACACCTGAAACTGATCAAATCTCAAGATCAAGAATCCAAAGAAAACGTTCTTGAGATCATATTTTCCGAATAAAGATAGCCAGTTCTACGTGGCTAATTATGTACACGAGAAGTATCAGAAATACCGCGTCAAATTAATTTTATAAAATTATTGGACACGTCAAGATCGATTGTAGAATCAAAAGACCATTCAAAATTGTCCATTTCATCGAAATAAACTATCCTGCCAATAGATTGCGTTATTAAAAACAAATATCTCGAGTATTTCAACGCCTTAGCCAAAAGAAAATGGTCCACTTAAAACATTGCCACTGGAGGCTTGGACTGATTGCGATTAACCCTCGAATAGCGATGATCAATCAGGAAGGTATACAATGGTAGATAAATCTGCAAATATAAGATTGTTACTCTGATAAATTGAAGAATACCGAATTAATTTGAAAATCAAATTTGAACTTCAGATGAAAGCCTAGCTATTCGTGGGTTAATTAAAAAATCGATTAAAATCACGATTCATGGAATTGTTCGATAAATAACATGATAGCCGCCATATGTACCGCGAAACTTGCATTATTCGTATCACTTTTTGTTCCCTCGTTCGAAGAAAACGAGCTCTACATTCGACGAAGGAAACGTTTCCCTCGTTAACATATAAAAATATCTGAAACTAACGCGTCTCTAAAAAAAAGAAACTAAATCCAAACCTAAATCAGTTTCGACGGTATTTAACCTCCTTCCATTTTCTTCCCGAATCGTTTCATGTGATGTATCTTCCCGTATCCCTGATTCGAGCTGAGTATTTCACAAAGATATATCACACGAACAAATGAAAATTCAGTTAGGAATCGTTTCACGTATACGCGATGATGCCAGGTGACACTGACGAGCTAGCTTGATGGCAAAGAGAAACACGGTGTTTTTTTCTATATCTAGAAAGAACCGTTCACACGTGAGCTCACGCGATACTCGTCAACAAATTTCATCGTGTTCGTTAATCTCTCAAGTATCTCTAAAGACAGTTTAGTACTTGTTCAGAGACCCGAGTCTGAAAGTTAGCAAGTAGTCGTAAAGTACGATCAGAACCTTCGAGGAACAAGTAGCCAGAAAGTTCTTGTCGAAGTCGCCAACGTACAAAAAGACGCTATTTTACAGTCACCTAAATCTTAGGCTTCCAACGATTCTCGAATCGTTACTTCATTCTTCTCTCTCTCGGTTATTTTTTGGCAAATCCAAACGTCCAAAGATGTCAAGGTCGAGATAATTCAGGTGAGCTCAGGTGCGAACGAGCCTTAATGCGGAGAAAATCATCGAGTGACCCATCGCGATCCCGCTTCTGTCGGGTCACGGGCCACCCTATCACAATCTTCGTCGACGTCGTGGAGACGTTCGTCGTCAGCGCGGAATGCCGGTGACCAAAGATGATGACACGCGATGATGATGCGATGGATGACGATGAACGACGACGAATGACAACACGACGCAGCAACGTCATAAAAAGAAACCACCGTCAACGTCGTCGAAACGACGACTCCAATCGTGAAAAATCCTCGGATGCCACGATTCGCCGAGAGATTTATCCAGCCTCGACACGAGGCCACCACACTGCACCTTCACCTATACCCGCACCACACTGTAGCACCTCAACACATTGCAATTGTCATGGCCTATGGAACCTGTAACCGATCAGAATAATTACATTACTATTACAATTTTACATTTACATTACTTTACATTACTATTACAATTTTGCATTTACATTACTTCACATTATTATTACAATTTTGCGTTTACATTACTTCACATTACTTATTACATTTCTTTATGTTATCTTTACTGGCTACTTCATCTAAGGTACAATGAAAATGTTCAAAGTGAATGACATTTGATAAATTTTCTTTCAAAGGGTCAAATAAAGCAATGTAATTCTTGATCAAATTCTGGACAATGTATTTTTAACTTGAACAATGTATTTGTAACTCGGACAATGTATTTGTGACTTGGACAATGCATTTGTAACTTGGACAATGCATTTGTAACTTGGACAATGCATTTGTAACGACAATGCATTTGTAACTTTGATAATGTATTTGTGACTTGAATAATAGATTTATAACTTTGATAACGTATCTGTAAGTTTGACAATGTATTTGCAACTTTGACAATGTGTTTGCAACTTTGACAATGTATTTGTGACTGGGACAATGTACTTGTAATTTACACAGTGTACCTCTAACTTTGACAATGTACCTGTAGCTTACACAATGTATCTATAACTTGGACAATGTACATGTAACTTAGACAATGAACTTGTAACTTCGACAATGAATTCCTAACTTAAATAACATATTACTAGTCTGAACAATACATTTGTACTTAAATAATGATTACATTGAAATAATGTAACGTCTGCAAGATAATAGAGTCTGTTTTTTATAAGAAGAATATACCTGGTGAGGTGTCGGCTGTCTTCATGAACGGCCATTTCCGAACTCTTAAACTCGTTCAATTCTTTCCTAATGGCTGCCTTGTCCTTAGGGGTCAACCGTGTCCAGGGCTTATCGGCTCTTCTGTCGTAGTCGTGAGCTTGCGTGACTTCGATGTAATCATTGAACCTAATGATCTGAAACATTCAATGGACCATTATCATACGTTCTCATATGATGCTTGAACAATAAAGATATTTCAATACCTTCTTCTCTTTGAGCTCTTCGACAGTCGGTCGAAAGCTGAGCTTCCGTAGAAGATATCGTTTCTTTTCTTCTTTCTGTTTCTTCTCCTCGGCCGGACTTTGTTCTGTAAATTACGTGTTTCATTAAAATATTGCGTGTACTCGTATTTGTTAACACAAATTGTCTACACTACTTCCTCTAAATTTTCCAATCAGAAAGTATATAAAAGCTCACTTTTCAAAATGTTCCGTTCTTCCAGCTCCTCCTGGGTTGGCCGCATGCTCAGCCGCCTGAAACAAACGAGTGCCACTCGAATCAATACGAGTGCATCATCGAATGCTCTTAATCCGATTTTTGCGGTAGGTGATCGGTTCAATTGGTCAAGGAGGCATGCAGAACCCGTGCAAGAAAGCAAACAAGTGATTCAACCATAGTCAACTGTTTGCTTGGTGATCCGATGTAATCGTCTCAGAGACAGCTGCTGGTCCAACTCTCACGTTCTTCGATAGCTCAATCGATATTAAAACCAATCATACCCTTTCTTGTCATTCACCTTTTTTTTATATTCTTCTATCTTTCATAAAACATCTGAAATTGTTGCGTCCTCATTTAATCGACTGAAAATCTGACGAGCTTCATATACGAAGTCAATAAAAATTTTGCAACTGTGATCATAAAATTGAAGGACTTGCAATGAAGATGTTGAAATCGTACAACGTTTAACACAGTAATTTAGGAAGTCGATTAAACAGAATTTTTGTCTCCTTATTTAGTTAACTAAAAATTTTACAAACTTCCTATACCGGTTCAGTAAAAATTTTGCAACCGTGATCATAAAATTGAAGGACTCGCAATGAAGATGTTGAAATCATAGAACGTTTAACACACGTTTAACAAAATTTATACAAGTAATTTAGGAAGTCGATTAAACAAAATCCACAGGAGTCCCATCAGGGGTTTCCAAAGAAATAAATCCTCGACGTTCGCAATTTTGTTATTCCTAAATTTAGGATGTTCTACGTCAATGCGAGCGTTTAAATTCACGCGAGTATAACTATTCGTCAGCAAACCCGATATCGCGAACAGTTCAGCCTCGGTTTTCTATGCCCAAAGACGTCACTATTCATGGCAACCAGAGATACGGGAGGATTCAGCGGTCGTTTCAATGCGACCGATCAATGAGCTTCCTTCGAATAATACCTGCCATGCTTTTTCTCCTCCATCTTTTTTTTTATTCTCATTTATTTCACCGTGGCTTATCGGAGCTTTTAATAATCCTCGGATAAAGTTTCTCCTCGTTCCTCTTCCTGTTTACGCGCAAATCTGTTTCCTTCTAATGACCGTGACAGTTTTGTTTCAAGGACCGTTACTTTTTGTTGCGGACGTTTCATTGTCTGAAGTTAAATTTAACGTCGTCGCTGCAGGAGGAGTGATTAATGATCTGCGTGTGGTGACGTGGAGAGGTTGGGATCTGGTGATTTTTAGGGTGAAATATTTGGAAATTTAGAGATTTGGGGGTTTGGGAAGTGGAAAATTTGGAATTTGGGGGAGTTGGAAATTGGGAGATGTGAGAGTTGGGCGGGTTGGGAGTTGGAGGCTTTGGAAATTTGGGGGTTTGGAAGTTGGGAGATTTGGAAGTTGAGAGATTTGGAAATTGGGGGGTTTGGAAGTTGGGGTGCTTGGAAATTGGGGGGTTTGGAAGTTGGGGTGCTTGGAAATTGGGGGGTTTGGAAATTGGGGTGCTTGGAAATTGGGGGGTTTGAAAGTTGGGGGGTTTGGAAGTTTTGCTTGGAAATTGGGGGGTTTGGAAGTTGGGATGCTTGGAAATTGGGGGGTTTGGAAGTTGGGGTGCTTGGAAGTTGGGGGATTTGGAAGTTGGGGTGCTTGGAAATTGGGGGGTTTGGAAGTTGGGATGCTTGGAAATTGGGGTGCTTGGAAATTGGGGTGCTTGGAATTTGAAGGGTTTGGAAGTTGGGGTGCTTGGAAATTGTGGGGCTTGGAAGTTGGGATGCTTGGAAATTGGGGTGCTTGGAAGTTGGGGTGCTTGGAAATTGGGGTGCTTGGAAGTTGGAGGGTTTGAAAGTTAGGTGATTTGGAAATTGGAAGATTCATAATTTGCAAAACTCGAGAAAAAATACTTAAAAATACAGAAAATGCACTACCCATCAAACATAAAACTACACATAATTTTATGAACATCAGCGAATTCACAAATATGCCCATTCGAATATTCCCAATATTCCCAAATTCGCAACTGAGAATACTTCAAAATACGACCATGTAATGAAGTAAAAAGTGGAGGTTTAAAAATAATTGAGCAACTTCAGCGATTTCCCGGAGAGAGGAGAGGCAAAGGAAGAAGAAAGAAGAATCTTTTTACCTGATGAGCTTGGCACCAATCGCCTCCTTCGTTTCCTGCCTCTCATTGTCCGTCTGCAACTGAAGAATGTTCCTGTTGATGAGCTCCTGCCTGTCTGGCCTAAGGGCGAGTTTCAGCGACAACGACTCTTTGCGCGCGATCTTTGCTGCCAACCGACCTGCAATTACAAAAACAATTAACCCCGTAATTAAACATCCCTTGCACGCCTCGTCTCTTTAATTGTTCCGTTTATTAAAGCAATCAACATATTTGTAGTCGATGATATTTCATAATTCATTTCGCGTACAGTTTTATTATTTGATTCTTTTTAATTCATTCGTTTATTATTAATTTTACAATATTCTCTGTTAATAGATAGATCTTAATATGTTAATAGATCTCTGTTATTTAGAAATTGATGATAAAAATAAAAGAAATAATAATTGTTGAACAAGTAACACGTAAGACAAACATTTAATAAATCGAAAGAAATATTGTTTACACCCAAAGCGTTTATATGTGAGTCAATATTTGTACACAATGAACTACCTGCATCGAAGCCGGCAACTATATCGGCAATCGAATCACGCAATAATCGTTTCGATCTATTTAAGGTCTGATTCGATCGCGATTTACCACCAATAATCGAGGAACAGCTGAGACTTCGACGAAGAAGAGGTTCAGGTTTGAAGGGCTCGATCGATCCACACGCGATCGACAAAGTCGATGCTGTCCATATCGATAACATGCTGTCATTGTTCTTAACACTCTCATATAATTTTCAATTATTCACTAGATTTTTCTGGATCCAACAGTTTTAATTTTTTCAATTAATTATTGTCAATTTATATAATTAAACTTGTTTTTTAAAATTGTTCTACTGTTTCTTGATCAAATGAAGTTTGTCTTTTTTAATAAAAAAATGCAGTGTTTAACTAAAAATTTAATGTGCTGATTGTTTAATTAAAAGTGTAATGCATTAATTGTTTAACTAAAAATGTAATGTACTAATTGTTTAACTAAAAATGTAATGTGCTGATTGTTTAACTAAAAATATAATGTACTAATTGTTTAACTAAAAATGTAATGTGCTGATTGTTTAACTGAAAATGTAATGTACTAATTCTTTAACTAAAAATGTAATGTACTAATTGTTTAACTGAAAATGTAACGTACTAATTCTTTAACTAAAAATGTAATGTACTAATTGTTTAACTAAAAATGTATCATAACTCTTTAATCAAAAAATGTAAATTTTTCAACTGGTTTTTAATCAACAAATGCAAACTGTTTAGTCGTTTTTATTAACGAACAACAATTTCATAAAGTATTTTTTATTCCATGAATGAGAATGTTCAACTGTTTTTTCAATCAACAAACAGCAATTATTAGATTGTTTTTAATCAATGAAAGAGCACTGTTCACTTATTTTTTTAATCAACAAACGACAATTGTCGAATTGTTTTTTAGCCAACAAACAAGATCTGTTCACTTATTTTTCAATCCATAAAAGACAACAGGTAAATTGTTTTTAATCAACGAATCAGAACCGTTCACTCATTTTTTAATCGACCGAAAATTGATTGAAAGACAGCAAACTGTTCACTCATTCAATCAACGAATAAAGATTGTCCAACTGTTTTTAATCAATGAAAACAGTTCTTTTTTAAAAGAACAATTGTTCACTCGATTTTCGATCAACAAGTGGAAACAGAAGCACTGTCAACGTTTTTTGATTGGTCGTAGGAAAATTGAAGAGTCCGAAAAGAGTTTATCGGCAAAATGGAGGATCGTTTTAATATTCGAAACGTCGAATCGCGAGCAACGGAGGCGGAAAACTAAGGCAAAACAACAGCCAGAAACACACTGAACCGTTTGCCAGCTATCTTCGGGGATTAATATAACCTTCGAGGTGTTCGCGTGATCACGCGTATGTCTATGTGAATAAACGTATCTCGCCGGGTGTATAATTAGTTCGGTCCGCGGTTGCTGATTCTTAGATCTTTGCCAATCGAGATATCTCGTTCAAATTTTACCCCGGAGACATCCGTCATCAATGAAAGTCCGCCATTTTGATTCATTCAATCTCTTTATTTAGTGACATTATCATAAATTCAACACTTTACTTGAGTTCTTTTACCTGACTTCGTTTACAAGATAGTTCTCGATAAAATGCCTTGCAACAGGGTGAAGTATGTGACAAATTCTGTACAAGTACTAAAATGATAATATACATGTCACCGTGAAAGACCGAAATTGGAGAATGTCGACATTCACCGGTGAATGAGTTAAACGAGGAGTTTAAAATCTCTTCTCGATTAATTGGAAACGTGGTTGCGATAAACGCCGTCGGCCATCGAGTCATTCGACACATAGCGTGTTACACATTTAATGGAAGATCTGTTCTGTCGAATTTTATCGATAATTACAAACGTCGATATTTAATATTTTAGTCGAATTATTCCGTCCCCAAATTGTAATAACTAAAATAATACATCGTATCAAGGGTACGATCCACTGTTTCGAATTTTATAATAAATATTAAACGAAGCGCGAAATTGGGCCGGAAATTCGTTCTCTGTTGTGAATATTAAATTACGTCATTTACAATTTATTTTCCCTCTGTCCATAATACTTAAAATCCGAAACTTAATCCACCTCGTGTGTCTCAACAACGAAATAATTAATAATTAGTTAATTAATTAAACAAAATTAATATTCCGGTTGAAAGTTAATTAACGAAGTCATAGAGTTCGTAATCTTGTTCCATTTTACTAACCAGTCGTGAATTTTTTATCTGCGAACTTAATGGCTGTGAAATTCGCTTCGATATCGTTAATTATGAAACACAGGGAATAATCGATCAATTCGTTCGATCGCTGGAGGAATCGTGGAGGTACTTTTACATAATATACGACAGGTTGAAAGTTACTTGGCAAGCATAATGAGAAACAATGTTTCGCTCGTTGCTCTTTTTTATCGCTCCTTTTTTCCCATTTTCTGTTTGCCTTCCATCGCCGAGCGAATTACACAAACGATACAGCTGCAACGGTCACCGTCTGTAATTGAAATTTCTCCTACGCCATTCTTTTTCTACGTAACGCGGATTACTTTGCAATTAATCTACTACAATTGTACGATTCGTTAATGATACTACTGCCACTTTGCTAGCTTTCGACTCTTCCCTATTTCTCGTTTTATTTCGCACTCTTTTGCGAAGGCTCGAAATTCGAAAGTTTGGGTACAGAAATGTGGAGAATGAAGACTTGAGAATTTGGAAATTTGAAGATTTGGAAAATTCAAAGTTTGAGGATTCTGAGATTTTCAAATTTTTTTAATAATTCAGATAAATAGATTAATATGTATGTTACCGTGAAAGACCGAAATCTGGTGAATGTCGACATTCACATAGTCGCTTGGTGTATGTCCGAAATATTTGCTAAATACCCTTATTTCTGACTTACACCGGTAAATGTCGACATTCACCATGCACTAATGGTGAATATTGAACATGTTTATATTTTCTTCTCCGTAAAAATTAGGAGTTTAAGAATTTGAAAATTTGAGAAATTAAGAGTTCCGAGATGGTGGAAGTTTCGGATATTCGAAGATGGATTCAGAAATCTACTTCTACACTAGGTTTGATAATCTCGGAATTAGTAAACTCACAATTTCCAAATTTGAAAATTAAATACCTGAACCTCCAAAAGTACCGCTACAAGAAAGTAATAAAACTTAACATAACTCACTTTTCTCATCATCGTACTCGTCCCTGTAGAGAACTTGACCATCAGCTGAGTCTCCATCGGCATCCTCCCTGATCACGTACGGCCTCGCGTTTTCTTTGTTCTCGAGGGTGCACGGCAAGGCGAGGCCAAATCTGACCGGTCGACTGCTGAAAGAAACGCCACGAACAATTGCAAAATATTAGAACCTCCTTGCAGAATGACCATACTGATTAACGCTACTTCAGAATCAATGTTCTACTCTACCACGTTTCAAACACGAGATACGAAATATGGAGGAGGATGAAACAACGACACAGCTGTGTGTATGTACGTATGCAGAGTGTGACACGTTGATGAAGATAACAGAAGCAACTTGTGGAAACTGTGCGAAATGGACATTGTGAAACGGCTTATCAATTACGACGGCAAGATAACTTCCCTTCGCTTTTTACTGTGACGATTGTTTGAACACACTGTTATGGCTTTTTGTTCTTCTTAGCTTATTGTCCTGACTTCACTATTTTTAACCTCTCAACATATGCAATTTTGTGCAGGACACGATGAAGAGAAAAATAGTCCGACTTTAAATTATTGCAAGTTTCATTTAACTTGTAAATTTCATTTAATGTTTCTGGAAAATTTTTTGTGGAGGCATTCTGCAAGATTTAATATCTAGATTGGGGAGCAGATTTGTACATTTAAACTTGATAACAGAGATTTGTGTATTTAAATTTGGCAACAGATTTTTGTATTTAAATTTGATAAAGGATTTGCATGTTTGGGGTTGAAAATTTTTACTGATAATTTGTATAATATAATGTTTAATTCACTGTTGTAATTTGGGACAATATAATGTATATTACTATTAGAATTTATGACAGTTTATACCAGACAGGAATTTATTGGAAGGACGTCGATGGAACTACAATTAATACGTATTGGATTATGTACAGTTGGATCAATTTAATAATAGTAATGTCAAAAATCGTGCACAGATTTGTCTCCATAAAAGACATTCCAATGTGCTGAAACAATCGGTTGAAACCCTATAAGCTACCAGTTTAAACATTTTAAACATCATTTCTAATGAATAACTTATTATAATTCATTTATTACAATCATTTCTTGCTAATCTTTGCACAAGATGTCTAATAAAATTTTTTAAACAAATTCTCATTCTGATAAAATGAAGTGTTCATTTGATTTTATGATACAAATCTACATATTGTTATTATTATGTACATATTATTATTGTTATGAATATAAGAATATTTTTATACTATTCCTAACTTGATTTTATGATACTAATGTACATATTGTTTTTGTTATATACATATTATTAATGTTGTGAATATAAGAATATTTTTATACTATTCCTAACTTGATTTTATGATATTAATGTACATATTGTTTTTTTTATATACATATTATTATTATTATTATGAATGTAACAATATTGCTGTACAATTATAGTGATTATTCTTATGAACACACCAATTGCTACAATTAACTACTTCTTTACAAATTTATATGAGAATAGAATTGTTAATTTTAAAAACAATTTAAAAATTTGATTTTAACCTATTGTTAATCTTAAGACAATTTAAAAATTTTGTTTTAACCAATTGTTAATCTTAAGACAATTTAAAAATTTGATTTTAACCAATTGTTAATTTTAAGACAGTTTAAAAATTTGATTTTAACCAGTAGCTACGGGGCCCAGAAAGCTATAAATACAGCGAACCATAAGAAACGCCCTACAAGTTGTAGAAAAATGTATCGAAAAGTCCACCGAAGCGGGACGAATCGAGCTGCAACTCGATCGAGATCCTCGTTCTCGTCGATTTGGGTTTCGAGGTTCTCGCGTTGAACGTATAATGGAACGGGTGAAGCGTGGACGACGGTTTTCATGGGTTTCCCTAGGGTTTTCTCATGCTTAAGGTCGTTTACGTTTACCATGCTCACGGCGCTCGTGATGCTGACACACAGAGAAAGAGAGAAAACGTGTGAAGAGAAAGACAGAAAAAGTGTGAAGATCGATAGTAAAGGGAAATGGAGTAGAAATATACACACCTTCGCTTAAAAATTATAGGACAAATTTTTTATTAAAATGTATAGTTCCTTTATTGATGGGTAAATGTTGTGTAAGGAGTATAACAGAGTTAAAAGTGTATGCAGGATGTTTAATCATAAGCGGAGTTGTAAATGCGAATGGCAAAAAGTACAGCAAAAATTTACAAAAAGGCATAACAAAGGCATCAAAATTTTGGGTATTAAAAATCAACATATGCAAAATTGATCGTTAATTTTGACAAAAATTATTGCAAACATACAGTTAGAAAAACAACAAAAATTCTTCAGATGTGATTTTAATTGTTTCCATGAAATTGTCACTGGATCCATGATTTCTGAGGGAAAGTGTATATGTACAAAAGAGAAGAAAAATATGTACAAAGAGAGAAATAGAAAAAGATTGTTGGTTCTCTGCGATCAACCGCCGTGGGTAAAACAAATATTTATACAAATATATATTTATATACCATATTGACTCGCGCATGCTTAGTTAGACCAATGTCCAATTACCATATTCTCATCCTAGGCCTTAACGGTGGCCTTCTGGTTAAGCATAAGAAAAATACGACACTTTACTGGTGATTGATAAATGTTTCATGAGTGGAAATGAGACGAAGTTTCGCACACAATGGACCATCGTTCTCGATCCTTCGATTTCACGATTCAAATTTAACCCTTTCTAACCTCACCACAATTTAATTTAATTTTTTCAGACACTTTTGACCATGTAATAATAATGAATGAAATGAATGAAACGAAGTAGTGAAGTATTTAAGTGGTTTCAGTTGTAGACTCTGTTTGATCAAATATGAACAAGTGTATAATATTCAAAGTAAATTTAGTTACAATACTGTTTGTAGCAGGTGTTTAAATGAAGTTTGAAAATAGAATTATTCGTCAGAATTTATTTAATAGAAATTGCAGTGTTATTGCTTATAAGGAAAGGGTTAAATGTAGAACAACTGAACGAATCACCCTTACTGTCTTACTTTAAAACATTACTTATATAATATATTATTGTATTGTAATTCATAATTTATTATGTGAAACTGTGATAGCAAATTCATTTATAAATTGAAGGTTCTACTTGCTACTTGTGCAAATACTGTTAAATAAATAAATTTCTATAAATAATTGTATGAACGTAAAATGTATAAACAGAAAATCTATATGGACATACAAAAGAAATATATAAATAAATATTTAAAGAAACATATAAGCAAGTATTTAAAGAAACATATAAACAAATATATAAATAAACATATAAATAAATATACAAAGAAATTCACAAGTGTAAACAAAATATGTATAAATATAGAAAATTACAGAACTGAATGAATATATAAAAAACATAAGAATATAAGTAAATAAATATTACAAATAAACTGAAATAATTGCACAAGCAGATTAAGTCCATTGCGTTACATGAAATTCGAGTCGAAAATAATGAAATTCGGCGAAGATAAAAGTGCAAGGGTGAATCGTTCATCGAAATAAGTTGAAAGGCAAGAGTGCGTTACTCTCGCTTGTTGCACTCGGCGAAATTAAAGCAGCGCCTTATCGATCGATTCCGACGTGACCCGTCGAAGGGAAGGGCAGAAAAGGGACGCAATCGCGGGGCCGAAGTGAGCAAAACGACGATGAAAAGAGGCTGAAACGTAGAAAGAGGGAATAATACGAGAGAACACGGTGCACGTGTGCGTGAAAGAGATGACAAGGCCGGAAGGTGAAGAACGATGTTCCAGACGAGGCTCTTCAGGGTCTCGAGATGTTTCCATTAAAGCCAGCGCTAATTAAATTCGAACAAGCCTTCCAATCGTACCCTTAATAATCACCCGTTAAAATCGCCCGAGTGTTTCAAGCATCCACTTCCGGACAGAAGAGTATCTTATTCCGAGACCCTGAAGAGGACCGTTTCTCGCGACGAATCTTAACCGCTGAGAACGATTCACGAATCGGAGAACCGGACGTTCTTCGATCGTTCGAGATATCTCGGCTAAGAAATCTCTCACGAATAATAAATCCCGGAAATTTCGACTTCCGAAACGTGTCTCGAAGGTGTCGCTCCACTAACTTGAAGGAAGCATGCAGCTCCTGACGAAGGGTCAATGGCCTGTTCTCTTGGGTTGGCGTGTTCTGCGGTGTACCAGGCCCACTTCCGGAACCCCTCTTCTTCAGCACGCTCTTCAACGGCACCGCGTGAAACTTTGGCTCCTTCGCAGGGATCTCCTCCACCCTCGACGTGTCGATGCTCGGGTCTGGCTGCGACATCCTGGCTACGTACATGTTGTCCTCCTCCTCCACGTCGAAGTCTTCCTCGTCTTCTGTAGAACAAGAGACATTACATTAGGACCATAGAATAGCGTGACGACAGATGTTTATGTAGGTAACGAAGATGGTGAAGTAGGTTCTTTTTAACTACATCACACATAGGTTCTTTTTGACTATATCACACATAGATTCTTTTTAACTACATCACACATAGGTTCTTTTTAACTACGTCACACATAGGTTCTTTTTGACTACATCACACATAGGTTCTTTTTAACTACGTCATATATAGGTTCTTTTTAGCTACATCACATATAGATTCATTTTACCTACATCACACATATGTACGTTCTTTTTAACTACGTCATATATAGGTACTTTTTAGCTACATCACATATAGATTAATTTTAACTACATCACACATACGTTCTTTTTAACTATGTACATCATACATACATACATACATACATACATACATATCCTACATACATACATACATATACCTACAAACATACATACATTCATACATACATGTTCTTTTTAACACATCAATAATATCACACATATGACGTGGAGGATATAACTTATTTTCAATCAGTAATAACTTCGAAAGAATTGATCAAAAGAACACGCATATGTGTGCATATGTGTGGTTGTGCAAAAGTATATTATGGGTAAGTGTACCTTCGTCCTCGTAGTCTGATGATAAAGGGTTTCGTATCTGTCGTTGCTTGGCTAATAAGAGGGTAGGACTGGTGGAACTGAACATCGGCGGAGGTGGAATCGGTCCGATTTCGCTGAGAGGAATCGGTGGTTCCGGAAGTTCTGACAGCATCAACGTGTTTTGAGGCGGAAGAGGGTAACACCTCTCGATCACCTGCTGGTTCTCGCTGCTTTGGTCCAGGACCCCCTTCTCCACTGAAAACACACAAAGAATCATCATTTCAATAATTTTCATAACATACTTCTTTTTCATTTCGTTTCATCCCTTAATTATAAATTCAAAAAACTCCATTAACTCCTACATAAATTTATTTTGTATGTTAACAAAATTTTTTATGATAACCGTCATGGTTAAATTTTTAATAAAAAGAGAAAGAAACCGTGTATATACGTGATAATCATATGTGTCATATATGTATGATTTGAATAAGGAAAATTCTTCTATTTCAGCATTTTACGATGTGAATTTTGTTTATTTTCCACAGTAAAAGAAAGTAGTGCGAGTAAAAGAAAAACAAGGTTGCAGTTTAAATTAAAATCCGAAAGTATTCGATGTAGCTTTTCGAGTTTATCTGCGAAGGGAAAATATCTGTCGGCGTGAAGCCGTGAAACACGCGAGAAATTTATCGTGGCTGGTCCTTCGTAAAAGAAAAATTCTTAAATAACATCCCGACAACACCGAACCACAGGAAATTTCAACGTAGCTGAAAGCTACAGGAAGTTCGCGAATAGTTTCGCGAGATCGTTCGAATTCCTGGAATTCCCGGCCTCCTGGAGTCATCGAATCGTGAAGCAATTTCCAACTCGTCGACTCGCTTGAAAATTGATCGCTGGAGCCATCTTGACAGTCGGCAAACTACCGCGCTTCATATACTACGATATTCCGCCAGCTGTTTAGAACTCTGCGTTCGCGATAAATAATAATATGCTTTGGAATTGATTTATGAAGTGAATGTTCAGATTCCCTGATTTTCAAATCTACAAATTCTGATATGAACAAATTCTCAAATTTTGATGTTCTCAAATTTCCAACTTCTCAAATTTCGATATTCTTAAATTTCCAACTTCTCAAATTTCGATATTCTCAAATTTCCAACTTCTCAAATCCCAAAATTCTCAAATTCCCAACTTCTCAAATTTCGATATTCTCAAATTTCCAACTTCTCATATCCCAAAATTCTCAAATCCCCAACTTCTCAAATTTCGATATTCTCAAATCCCCAAATTCTGAAAATCCCCAAATCCTTGAATCCCCAACTTCTCAAAATCCCCAAATCCTCAAATCCCCAAATTCTCAAATCCCCGAATCCTCGAATCCCCAACTTCTCAAAATCCCCAAATCCTCAAATCCCCAAATTCTCAAACTCCAAATCCTCAAATCCCCAAACCTCAAATTCCCAAATTCTTAAAATTATATTATATAAATATATTTATACTAACGAAATTGGTTCACAAAAGTGTTAAATAAAAAATAAACCTTGCAGAAGTGGTCATAGTACTTTTTTCAGGATTAAGGGGTTACATTAATAATTTATCATCCTCTTATCTCTGGGACAGTTTTCAATCTCCTTGACGTAGAATGTATTCTTAGTTAAATATAATGGAACTTTTAGCCATTTTTCTGCCAGGGCTTTTAAGCTATTCCTTATTTATTATACTGCCTTCTTTTTTCATTCCACTGTGAATAATCCCCAGTTGCATATGATTTAGGTCTGTAGTTTAAGATTTAAAACACTGTTTTAAAGATCCATGTATCACTACATAATGTTATTTATTTTAAAACATAATGTTATTTATTTTATTTTTATATAAATGTTATTTATATCAAATTTGACGATTATCAAATTTTGCTCCTTTAACATTGACATATCTTTTTTCATTAGCATCTGTTCAAATTTGTCAATCTATTTAATTTGTTCAATTTTATCAATCTGTTAAATTTCTTCAAATTTGTCAATGTGGTCAGTTTGTTCAATTTTGTAAATCTATTCAATTTGTTCAAATTTATCAACCTATAAGTTTGTCAATTTGTCCAAAATCAATCAATAAAATAAAATTAGATATTCACTTCAGCTGTAGTAAATGAAACAAGACACATAACTCGATACATCTGTAAATTTTTCGAATGAAATTGTTCTTCGTGAAAAGAAGTCAGGTGAATCCTACTGTCAGCTCCCATGATTCGCTCTTTCATTTTTCAATGACAGATCGTATTCCCTAAATGACTCGATTTCTTCGAAACGAGAGCTTCCCTTTGAAAGCTACCTCCATCGACAGGGATTTCGTGAAAAAGAACAAAACGCGATCTTTCGCGAAAGAGGATCAGGACGAAGATGAAATATGCCTAGGGAAGAACGAGACAAGTTTGTAAGGGATTTAATATCCTTTCACTAGATCACTCTAAATTGGAAGCTGAACATGAACCATTCTTATTTGCCACAATTACACTTTCAGTATGAGTTGCTATTTTTTGTAATTCACTTCAGATTTACTAATTTTTAATTTATCGAATTTACAAATTTTTATTTTCTCAAATTTACAAATTTTTAATTTCTCAAATTTACAAATTTTTTAATTCTCAAATTTAAAAAATTTTTAAGGAATGCCCTGAAATTTTGGAACTTTTAAAGTTTGGGAGCTGTTCAAGTATTAAACCAAAGAAGTGTTATACCAAATTTGAATCATTAGATTTTTAAATCCTTAACTTGCTGTATCCACGAATTCCTGAATCCTCAAATTCATGGAACTCTTAAATTACACTAACAACGTCCTTCTACATCCTCAAATTCATTTATTTCGAAGTTCACAAATTCGTAAATTTACACAACCCTCAAATTTCATCTTCATATCCTTAAATTCCCAAATTGCTACATCCATAAATTCTTAAACCTCACACTTATGGTACCCCCAAATTTCTACAATCGCAAATTTCCACATCCTCAAATTCTTACACCTCAAATTCCTGAACCCCTAAAATACAACCCTCAAATTCCATCATCATATCCCTAAATCCCCAAATTGCGTCGTCTACAAATTCCTAAACCCCCAAACTTACAGATCGCTTTCCACATCTTCTTATCCCTGAATCACCAAAAGAACCCTCAACTTCCTTCCTCAGATCCCTAAATTCCCAAATTCGCATCTTCCGATCTCCAACCCTCGCAAATTCCTATCTTCCTAAATTCCTAAATCCACAAATTCTTACGTTGCTAAATTTCTAAACCTCCAAATTTCTTAATTCCCAGTATATAATTAAAAAATGTCCTACCCCATAAAAATGTCCAGCCCCAAAAAAATATGCAACCTCAAAAAAATGTCCGACACAAAAATCCACAACGAGGTGATTTACGCAGCAGTAAATGTATCTATTACCACAAAAGCTGCCATAAAACCCGTACTTTAAAGCGACAATTAGGTGGATAGCAAGATAATAAAATTAAAGAGCAAGTTGTTAGCCGTGTACTACCTTCAAACAGTCGGCTAAATGGAAAGGAAGGAAGTTAAGGATGTTTTCTAAGCAGAAGCGGAAGTTGAAGACGATTCGACAAGAAATTTTGTCGGCGTAACTATCACGATAAACTTTCATGTGCCGTTGGTTCCGTCTTAAATCCTCTTTAAAACTCTCGTTTACCTTTCGAAACTCGAAAAGTTCGCCTTTATCTTCGACTTGTCCTCCTCCAACCTCGAATTCACCCTCCAACGAAAATCGTTCCGCGTGTACAAGCCGTTATCGGGAAACACGATCTTAAAGCGAACCGTAGAAAAACGTTCCTCCGTTTATACGAATTTTTATGGGAGAAACTCGCCTGCGAAATTTCTTCTTTTACGGACTGATAAAAACTGTCTGACTTCCTGGTTATTGAATATGTAACATCAGATCCGTTTTCTGCATGAAAATTGGCCTTTTTTTGAAAAATTTTGATGCATTCTGTGGGTAAGAAGGTGGAGAATGTAATTGCGGAGAGTTGCGCTTTTGAGAGATTGTTTAAAATTTTATTTAATGTAATTTTACAGTGGATGATGTTATGGTAATTTTAGTTTTATGGGTATTTGAAATTTTATATTGTAGCATATGAAATATTGTAACATATGTAATATAGTTATACAAGGTCTACCTACCTACACAACAAGTGTAGATCCCTACAATGGGAGGTAGCTGACGAGATTCCGAATAAGATTTCCCTTTGCAAAAATAGGGTGTGAAGCTTCATTTTTGAATTATTAAGGAAAAACACGGACCAATCAGAGAGCATAGTTATACAATATACAAGGTCTACCTACCTACACAACTAGTGTAGATCCCTACAATGGGAGGTAGCTGACGGGATTCCGAATAAAATTTCCCTTCGCAAAAATAGGGTGTGAAGCTTCATTTTTTAATTATTAAGGAAAACCACGGACCAATCAGAGGGCGATAATACACAGTAACACACAGAGTATGTTGTATTGCGCATGCGCAGACGCGAAAGCGACAGCTTCGGATAACGCGTAGTTATCCAACGCGTGGTAATCCAACGCGTAGTAATGCAACGCGTGGTAATTCCACGCGTAGTAACGCAACGTGTGGTAATCCTACGCGTAGTAATCCAGCGCGTGGATATTCAACGCGTAGTAGTCCAACGCGTAGTAATGTAACGCGTGGTAATCTAACGCGTAGTTAACCCACGCGTAGTAATCCAGCGTGTGAATATCCGACGCGTGGATATCCAACGCGTGGTAATCCAACGCGTAGTAATGCAACGCGTGGTAATTCCACGCGTAGTAACGCAACGTGTGGTAATCCTACGCGTAGTAATCCAGCGCGTGGATATTCAACGCGTAGTAGTCCAACGCGTAGTAATGTAACCGCGTGGTAATTCTAAGCGTAGGAATCTAACGCGTGGTAATCTAACGCGTAGTTAACCCACGCGTAGTAATCCAGCGTGTGAATATCCGACGCGTGGATATCCAACGCGTAGTGGTCCAACGCGTAGTAATGCAACGCGTGGTAATTCTA